CGCCCCGCCCGGCCCCCGCCCGGCCCCTCAGGGCTGAAACTGACCCGCAGCGGAGCCCGGGCCGGCCGAAAGCGGTGTCGTGAGGAGATAAAGGAAGGGAACGCGCCGCTGCAGTGTGTGTTTACAGACGTGTTTCGGGTTCTGGACACACGGTTTACTGGTTTAGCTGATTTGCGGCGCTTGGCGGGGTACGCGCTGTTGTGCTAAATTTTAACTAATTAAACTTACTGGCTGCTTAGCCTACGGCTAAACTGTGTTAGTTGGCTTTGTGGCTAACGGAAAGCTCACAGAGAGCAACGGCCCGGGCTGGGCTGCGCTGAGGGAACTGCCCCAGCTGCACCAGCAGCAGCAGCGGCACGGCGGAGGCGAACCTGGGCGAGAGGGAAAAAGCGACAAAACCAGCTGGACTGACGGGAAAAACCGGCTGGGTTAAGGGGGAAAACCAGCTGGGTTATGGGGAAAAAACAGCTGGGTGAACGGGAATCGGTTGTCGTTCCCCACGAAGGGCCCTGGAGCCGCCTCAGCCCCGAGGGGAGAGCCCGAGCGGGGCAGCGAGTGGGAAAATTGAGAGGAAAAAAATGCCCCAAGGCAGTGTGCACTGACATTTCCATGAAATTCAGCCGCAGTCCGATGGTCTCACTCGTGACTTCCCTCTAGACGCAAACCCAGGAACTTTAAAAGCAGTTTTGTGCACACTGAACTCAATTACACACTTTTCTACTTCTCTAATCCTCTTCCACACTCCCCTTTATAATGGTCACAGTTGGAACAGTACAGCCTTTTATAGAAATAATAATATTTCTGCTTATATTGTTCTAAACTTTGCAAGGGGTTTTGTGAAGAAAAAATTTTATCAAAATACTCTTTGTAATGTTAGCTTAGTACAAACATAGACAAATGCTCAAAATTGTGAGTTCTTTCATGTTAATCAAAAGTCTGGATAAAGCCAGAGAATTGTTTTTCTCTTTCTTGCAATGCTGGACAATCATTCAGTGCCATTTTTAGTCTCTGTAAATTTAGTTAAATTATTATGTTGGCTTCAGCCTGGCTTTTACCACCTGCTGCTGTGGAGGATACAGGAACCCTACTGCAAAATCCAACCCCAGCTGATTGTTAACTGCATAAAGCTGGGGTTTAACAACGTCACTGGAACCTATGCTGTTGATTTTTTTGCCACTTAATCTCTGTAAGGATGGATTTACTGACCCTAAACAATAAACAGATCCCCCAAAGTACTAAAGGAGAATTTCCTAAAAGATGAAAAGCCAAACACCTATTTCATAAAAATGTAAAGCCAAGAAAATCATAAATGGTGTGACCTGAATTAATACTTTTTCTTTTCTTCAGATTTTTGGATGCAAAAATTTTCAAATGCCAAGCATCCTGATTCAAATGTAAAAAAAAAAAAAAAAAAAAAAAGCCCTTCAAAATAAATAATTAGGGGATGCCTTAGAAGTAAGAAAAGAATCATTAACACAGATTTTTGCTATTTTTTAGAGGGCCTGCAATCAAACATTGGCTGGCTGTGACATCCTGCAAAATGTCATTAAACTACGAGGAAACAAAACCCCTGTGCCATCAGTCTCTTGTGGTTATAAATAGCAAAATGTAGAAAATAATATACACATACACATTTAAGAAATGGACAACAGCTCTCTGTAGGTGTTTATTCTACTTACAGTAACAAAAACCTGTGAAGTCTCATATTTTAATGTACAGTGATATATTTTGCCATATAAAATACAATTTACAGAAATTTCTATCAAGTAAACCTAAACAAACACACATTTTGCATACTTTTATGTATGTCTTTAAATTAGAAACATCTCATTAGGAAAAAAAATCTTACACCGCAGTTGATGTTTGCATTGAATACGATTTCTTTGCATGTTACCGTTTTCCCTCGGGTTCAGGACACAGATGATCATTTCAGCAAATCCTGCATGTACAAGGACCTCAAGGATGCACCAATGTGACTGTGGTGACACACTGCTACCTGTAATATAGTCCTCAAGATGCAAAATGTTTACAGGAATCTAATTTTACATTTCCAAATCCATCTTAGCAAAATACCAAAATATTTACCCAGCGGTCAATTTACACATTCAAATAAACTAGTGGGGCTTTATTTCACACTTTACAATTACGTGCTTGAGGACTACATGGGAAGTAGCAATGTGATATATTTCACCACGAAAAATGTCCCTCTTCAATCACAACATGATGTACCACCATAATTTAAAGTTTAATGCAGCTGTGTCTTTTCAGTGGAGAGTTTTATTTACACCGCCAGCCTAAGCAGGGCCTAACAAAAGAACAGTATCATTTATTTTTCAAGAGCCCTTTTAGAATGAAAGAGCACTTCTATAATGAAAAGTTCAATCCAGTTGGGACATTTCTTAAATCTGTGGAAAAATTCTGCAAAACCAAAAAATGCTCCACTAAATCAGTTCAATTAAGTAACAGATTTAGTGGCCTATTTAACCAAATGCTCTTCTTCCTTTGGTTTACCACTTTTCAAAATAAATGTCTGATGCTTCTATAAGTTTTGCTGGTTATAAAGGTGCTACTCTTGTATTTTCTTTAATGACAGGTGTGTAAAGGTGGGATATTTAAAACCTCATGAAAAATAACAAAGCATGACTTGTTTCTTTCCTGTACACTTAACAGATGGATTCCAGACCCAAAATACACGTATATAAAAGGAAGATAGTGCACTTTAAGCTTATAACATTCCATTTTCAAATCCTCCATCAGTCACAAGTAATTATTAATACTGTTCTTTTGCAGCCTTTCCCTAAACACATGACCCTTCCATTGTAAAAGAAACATGACACTAACATTTTTAGTGTGTGCTGTAGGAACAATTTTGACACCAAAATATCACGTAAATGAGATGTAAAGGTATGGCTCCTCAGGTCTGGATTAAATTCTCCTATAAAATTACAATTCAAGTTACTGGAAAACATAACTTTATAATCTTAAAAAGCAATATGCTCTTCTTAGACTTTTTCCATTTCTGTACTGTAAATGGAAATTTTAAGATAAAGATGCAAGTAGAAAAAACAAAATTTCAGTACAGGTAACGTTGTGAATCTTTATAAGAAAAACATTATGCACAAAATGCAGCAAGTGAAAGTCCATTATGTTCTTGCTTTTCATCTATCTGATTATTTTCATTCACAGTTGTTCAAAAATTGCTTATTTGTCAGTACATCGGGTAAGGCTAGTTTTACAACAGAATTTTTCCAAAGGTGAGAATATGTACAGTATTTACAGATGTGCAGTCCTTGCTGTGTTGCCAAAGGGTATTATTTGTAGGAAGTATTAGTTACAGTTCTATGACTGATTGCTGGAAGATGAAGCTTCAGTTTCCACTGCTTTCTGAGTTTCCTTCAGTGTTTCTGGCTTTGTCTCTTTACCAATTTCCTTACTCTTACTCCTGTCTTTGCGATCTTTCCCTCTTTCCCTGTCGCGATCTCGATCTCTGTCTCGATCCCTTTCCTTCTCCCGGCTTCGATCCCGGTCCCTGTCCTTCTCTCTGTCGCGATCCCTGTCTCTGCTTCTCGATCGCTCTCTATCACGTCTCCTGTAAGAGTCCCTCTCTCTGTTTCTTGTCCTATCTCGGTCTCTGCTTCTTTCCCAGTCCTTACCCCGCTCTGAATCCTTGTCTCTATCTTTGTTTTGGCTCCTATCTCTGTTTTTATCCCATTCCTTCTCTCTGTGTCTCTCCCAGTCCCTGTCTCTGCTCCAGTTTCTGCCACGGTCTCTTTCCCAAGGTCTGCCATGTTCTCGATCCCTTCGTCTTTCCTCAAAGCCTCTACCTTGGCGATTATCTGCTTGTTGAAGCTCTGGCTGATCCAAACCCTTATCTTTATTTCCTCCCTCATATCTCTCTCTCTGTCTCCCTTCAAATGTCTGGCCTCTATAGTCAGGATTTTTGCCTTCTCGGAAGTCAGATGTGGGCCACTGTCCTTCCGACTCAGGTCCTTGTCCAGACATATTGGAAAGAGATGCAGATGGTCCACCTTCCTCCCACATCTCTTTTCTATGAGTTGGTGGATGACTTGGAAGGTCCAGGAGTGGTCTTGGGGGTGGTTTCATACCTTGTGGTGACTGACCCTGGTAATGAAATCTAGAAGGAGGTTCATCTTCTTCTGGAAACATTGGAGGTGTGCCTCCTCTTGGTCCTCCATACTGATGTGGTCCTGGACCTCTCTGGTTGGAAAATCTGGGTGGTGGGCTCCCTCTCCGTTCTTCATATGGCTGTGGCAAAAGTCCCCTTGAACCAGGCATGTGATTTGGAGCTGGACCTCTCTGCCCTTCAAATTGATTTGGGTGAGGCCCTCTTGGTCCCCCAAAATGACCTGGGGCTGGACCTCTTGGCCCTCCAAACTGAGGGCCCCCTCTCTGTCCTTTAAACTGACCTGGTGGGGGTCGTCTTTGACCTCCAAAAGGAAAAGGTGAAGGTCCTCTGTTTCCCATAAACTGGGAGGAATCTGGTCCTTCAAACTGTCCTGGAGGCCCCATCATTTCATCATATTGGGAATCTGAGAATTCCATTTGTTCCATGTGAGGGTCCCTGTGATCTTCAAAATGAGGTGGTGACATTCCTCTTGGACCACCATGATAAGAAGGAGCAGGGCCCCTATTATCACCAAAAATAGGTGGTCCATGCTGTCCAGAAAATAAGGAAGGAATGGGACCCTTTTGACCTCCAAATCTTCCAGACTGAGGTCCTCTTTGCCCGTCATTATTTGGAAAACCGTGCTCTTCAGAGAACTGTGGTGCTGGCCCTCTAAAATTAGGTCCATGAGGTCCTCCAGGTGCATTGAGCATCATTGGAGGTCCCCCTTTCTGTCCAGACATAGAAAATGCTCGGTTTTCCTCAAAGTGCTGTGGGGGAGGTCCACCCTCACTCTGAGCTGGTGCAGATTCAGTTTGTTCTACAAACTGATGAGACTGAGGATGTCTTTGTTCATCATATTGCACTGATGAAAGACCCATCTCTGGTTCAAAGTGTCCAGCTGCCTTTTCCTGCTGAGGAAACATTGTATTTGAAAAGGAATCCCTTCCCATTGCTTCCTTTGACTCATTTGACCATGACACTTGATGCATATCTTGCAAAGATGAGCTGTCGTTTGATGTGGAGAAATTAGGCTGAAAAGATGTACTTGGTGGGGTTGGAAGCAGCACTTTACGTATAGGTTTGGAAGCAGAAGGATCTCCAGAAGCTGATTGACTCAAGTTTTCCAAAGTAACTTGAATGGTGTGTTCAAATTTGCTGTTAGATGTCTCCTTCTGGGGCACCGTAGATGTCTGTTCACTTGAAACCCAATTATCAGCAGTAAAACCAGGTTGAGTAGTAGAAATTAAAGCATTATCTTCCTTACCAAGTGAAGTCTGCAAAGTATTTGGAAAACTTGCTGGAGTGACCTCTCTTGTGGCTATCTCATTCTGTACTACCTGTGGCTTTATTCGAGAATCAGCACTGTCATTCTCTGTCACCATCCTTCGAGCCTGTCGAGGATCTCTGTTCTGCCTTGGGTCACAGCCCTGGTTTAAAACTTGTGCTTGCTGATTTAAAGATGAAGGTAAATCTACTTTTTGTGTAGCTTGCTGGTCCTGATGGAATAATTCAGACTTCATTAGGGAAGCTTTCGCTGGTGGAGGTGACATTAAAGCATCAGACACTGAAAAGTGAGCCATTGAAACACCAACAGCTGCTCTTTGTTGTCTGAGGGCTTCTTCTTGTTCCTCTAGCTGCCTTTTCTGTTCTTCTATTTGTTTGTTTAATTCTTCCAACATTTTTTGCTGTTCTACCAATGTGGAGGATGCAGATAAATCAGACACAAATGAAGCAGACGCTTCTGAACTGCTTTTACTGTCTGTATACATTTTGTTGGGTAAATCATCAACAGTAACTTTTGCTTCTTCCAAGATAGTTTCATCCTCTGGATCATAGGCCTCATCCTCTAGTTCTGCTGTAGTAGAAGGCTTTTCCACACTGTAGTGTTTGTCACTCTCACCAGTCTGTGTTTCAAAGGCTTTCTCTGGACCATATTCTTCCTCAGGATCATAAGGTCTGTCATCCTCCTCCTCTTCTATGGCTTTGTCCTTGGACATCTGTCCGAACTGCTGCACAATGGGATCTAACAGAGGAACCGCTGACATCCCGCTATCTGCCGCAGCTTGACTTTCCTGACTGGAAGACTGAACAGTTCCAGAATCCTTGGCAGGAGGCTCAAAAGTTTTCTTTTTCCCGAAGAGGGTCTGCAGGATGTGCTCAAGAGGCGTGGCCGTTTTTGAGGATGAGGAGTGTGTGGCAGTGCTGCTTGCAGGAGCAGCTGGGGTTGAAATCGCTGGGGTCACAGTAGTTGTGGGGCCACTTTTAATGGAGGACAGTATTTTTAATACTGAAGGAGTCACTGCCGAGGTGTCTGGAACAGAAAGTGGGGGTGGAGGTGGAGGAGGAGGAGGAGGCGATCCAGGTGGTGTTGTACTCATGGTGGAGTCTCCCGAATAAAGTGTGTATTTTGGAGTTTTCTTCTCTTGTGAAGCTGGAGGCCCTTTAGAGAACAGGGATGGCTCGGCTTCATCATGTGCTTGAATTCTGCTTCGCTTCTCTTCCATTTTTTCCGTCTCAGTGGCAGGACGTTTCCCTTTCTGGCAGATAACCAACCCAAGGATTAAATTTGGCCGAGATGATTCAAGACCTGAAAGAGAACACAAAGATTGTATATGTAAAAATCTGATTTTTAATGATGCTTTCAGTAGAAACCTATTATTTTACGAAGTGGCAAATACAAAAGTCATAAAGGTAACAGTTTTCTAAGTTCCATCAGACCTATTAGCAATTTTCATTAGTCCACAAGCATATGCATTTGTATTTCTTACTTTTTATATGTATTCATACACAAGTTTAAAAGCTTAAATTCCTTGCTCAATGTTTTTAATAAAGGACTGCAGCACCAGGCATCGTCAAAGTGTTTCTGCAGAAGTTCAAAAGAAGCAAGCTTTTATTTTTGTGTCTTTACATTGTTTCTACTGCTCAACTACCCCGACTTCTCCTCCTAAAAAGCAAATATTTACATTTAGCTTGCAAATATAACAGAGATACTGAAAAGTGAGAAAACTTGGACTAAACACTGCTCTGTGTCATACAACCTGTGCTAAAAGTCCACATTGACACAAATCAATAAATATTTTATTTGTCTCCACATTAAACAAACACCAATAATGGCAAAACGGATCACATCAAACAGTGTTTGGAAACAGTGTTAAAGCTGGTAATTACTCCCATTTGTTGTGTTTTTTCCAGCCAGACATTATTTTAAGAGGCGTGAGAAGCTGGGAAACTGCAGATGTCCCAAACAAGCCCAGGAGAGGCGCTTGGCTGGGCCAGCACCTGGTGTGGGGTGAGAAGGCCTTGGAGCTGCTGGCCACAGGGTGGGAATCAGGCCTTGACAGGCCAGTAAAAAACACCACGAGCAGAACTGCTCCTTTGTGAAGAGCTTCAGACTTGAAGGAGAAGTATATCCAGAAATGATAAGGAAGTTTCAGATAAAGAGGGAAAATGCAAAGGGCTGTTGGTCTGTCTCCTGTATTTTTTCCTCCTACAAGCACACTTGATAAACATGCCTAGAATGAAGAGCAGGGACCAAACCCTTTAACATACAGTGGTGGCAAATGTAGAAAATCCTTTAACTTCTGGACTAAATGGCCTTTAAAAGGCCCTCTTTAAAGGCCACTGTCCTCCCTACATGTGCTATTAGTTATGATTTCTATTCAGCAAGGAAGCAGTAATATAGAAACATAAAATAACCTGTGAAATAAAAGATAATATTGTGAAATTAAGGTAATACTCATTGTGGATAAATGGCAATGTGAGAGCTCTGACCTACATTGACCTTTCTATTCAAGATCCCATAAGTAGGAGATTTTTATATATATGGTCCTTGTTCTTATTAAACCAACTTCTCACTAAGCAATATTAAAAAAATATCTAATTATTAGCACCAAAACCCTTTTCATACCAACACAAAACCCCTAAACCCCAGAGTAGCAGATACATTCCATTAGCAAACCACATCACACATACATCAATCTGGTGAAACAACTCAGAAGTTTTACTGGGACTCCTAAATTTACCATCTAGAGAGGAAAACACATCAGCTGTTTTCCTAAACTGATGTTAATGAATAACAACTCCCCAAGGTGGGTGTTGACCAGTGCAGAGCATCTCACAAACAGGAGTTCACCCAGAAACTGCCTTGATGTTAATGAATAACAACTCCCCAGTTGGTGGGTGTTGACCAGTGCAGAGCATCTCACAAACAGGAGTTCACCCAGAAACTGCCAGTAGGCATTTGCTGTTCTGCTGTTGTTAAATGTTTTGATTACCAAATTTCATGCAGAGCCTTGTGATTTATGCAATTAGTCACAATGAATTTCAAACACTGAATAACTGAAATAAACAGGTGTCAAAAATCCATCAGGCAGGGTAACTAATAAATAGCAATTACTGAGAAATCAGGTTTGAATTCCTGTAAGAAATACAGATCAAGTCACTAATTAAAACAGGATATAATTTTAATACACTTTCGAGGCAAAAAATTCCAGCAGCAAGTTAATAGCATTAGATATAAATTACTGTGTTTAGAATTTAGTCATCATAGAATAAATCCATTAAAATGCTACATTTTAATACTGGAATTTTACACAAATATTAGCAATTGTGCCTAAGCTGACTTCTACACTCCCTCAGTTCTGAGAGATCAAATACTACACGATTCCTTCAATGAAGACACATGGTCAGAGCAGCTTTCAAAGGCCATAGCCCTGTTCTATCTCAATATCCATAAATAGCTTAAGTGCCTAATTTTAGGAACAACAAAATGTTGTCTGCAATCTGCCACTACTGCTAAATGACTGCCTTTCACAAACACAGGTTTTAGAAGTGCTGCAAGCTGTGCTGGTAGTTAGTAGTTTTCAGTGCTAAATTATTTATAACAGTTATTATCCTGTTATGCATTTGAAATCCCCAGTCTGGTTTTATTGAGTTACTTCCTGTAACTAAAGCAAATATAACAGGATCTACTAAACACTAGTATTGAATTAATATTTACTTTCCTTGGCCTTAAATACATTTTCTCATGAGATCAAGTTTACCATATTTATATGGTGCACATTGGCTCCATCTTTCCCTGGCAGCAGCAGCTGGTAAAAGCTGACCTGCACTGTTCAAGGCACAGCTTCTGCCCATCCCTGACAGACCCAAGGGAGGGACTAAGCACACCTGTGGTGAATTTTAAACTGCAGAGACCAACACAAGACTTTATCTGTATCTGATCAATGCTATTTAAATATCTGTCCCAATTAATCATGAGAGCAATTGACAATTGCCATCAGATTTGTGCCCCCTTAATTCAGAGCCACAGATGGCTCCCAGCACTGTGACACTGCTCCACACTCGGGCTCCTCTGCTGCGTGGAACTGACTGGCACAGAATCTCAGCTTTGTAATGCCACATTCCTCTACTGCTGCTGCTTTTCCTAATGAAATCTGCTCAGCTGAACACAACAAACTCCATTCACAATTCAGGTAAAACTTTGATGCATTTGTTTTTTTAAGACCATTGCAACAGCATGAGCAGATTTCATGCCTTCATATTTTATGAAAACTCACAGTCCCTATAAAAAATTACCAGAACATACCAGCATTTTTTTAATCTTTGCTGATATATATATGTCTGTTTTATTAAAATTCAGCTACATGAGATAGTTGTTACATTCCCATCACCACTAAGTCCCTCAATAAATCATCTAATAGTTCTATTTCTAATAATCTATTAGTTCTGTTTCTATTAGTAATTAAGTCTGATTATACAATTTTTTTACAACTGGAAGTGGTAATGTGTATGTGAAAGAGAGAAATAATTCACATACTGTAAACCACTGCAAAAGGACAGTGCAGAAGAGCCCATGACACAAAATCTGGTAATAAATATCTGCGTTAATAAATACAAATCAGGATAACCCTCCATTTTCCTGTGTTTTCAAGCTGCCCACATCAAAGTTTTCTGCAGATCTTCCAGGCACTAGCGCAGTCCTCAGTTGTGTTCCAATTCCAATCCATCAGAAAACAGGAGAAAGTCCTAATCCATACGTGCCTGATGGAACTAGATGATACAGCTGGAATATCTTCTAACTAGGATTTCTGGAGTGGCAGGGTTTGATTGTCCTCTCCCTCCTCCCCCCTCAGCTCATATTTAGCTAAAAATGACAGACCATCTAAAGGCAATGCTTCTCCAGGTCTTGATAGAATCTACTGCAAGGCACACGATTAAATTTAAGGAGACAATGACCACTTTCCACAAAATATTTTTATTGATTGTGAAAGAAAGAAAACACAGTAAATTCCATCAGATGTCATTAAAAAGGTGTGGATTACAGGCTGTGGTTTTCATACATACACAAAACAAGAGGAACAGCTTACCTGATTCTTTTCACTGCTTTTAAAACACAACACAGCACAGCTGAGATAAAGGCTGCCACAGGAGTTTCCAACAAGTGTCACCTGATGGCAGAACCCTTTAGTGAATCTTCTGTGAGACTGTTCCATCTCATGGCCTGCCTGCCCTTGGAACCTTGTTTCTGCTAACCTTTAATCTACTTGGCCTACAACTATTTATGCCAATTTGAAAACCTGACTTTTAAAATTTGTCTCCATGAACACCTGCAGATGAGACCTGAACTTGTTCTGAGCAACTCCTTCCAGTTTTGAAATACTTGTGCACTTCAAACTCAGCAAAACCAGTCTGGATATTAAAAATATCTCTTACTAATAGTAAAGTTTGGCTACATTTGCCAACCTTCAATCCAAGGTAAAGAGTTTCGTTTGAAATGAAACCCATAATGGAGAGGTAAAAAAAAACGTAAAACAGAAAGCTGTTATCTCCACAGGAATGCAAGAGGCAACAATTAGGTAAATTGAGTTATTCATCAGACCAGCAGACGCAATGGCCAATCCCATCCTTGTGCTACTGACCAAAAAGGATTGTATTTCTTTACTTCTGCCTGGAAAAGCCAGTCCATGAGTTAAGATTCTTTGCCTACATCCCTGTGCCAAGGGGTTTTGTATTTGGTGTTTTCACTTCTTGGCTATGAAATGGGATTAACTTTTTGCCTAGCTTTCAAAAATTCAGTAAATTACAGACTATGAAGTGCTGAGATTCAACAATCCTACTAATACAGTAATTTAGACAACAATAATCCTGCCTTTTTAGCTATTGCCTAAAAACAATTACCTAGTCTGTGCACTGTTCAAGGACAGATAAGAGATTTGAAGTGTATGAGAAAAATCTTGTCTGGGGATGCAGAGCAAGTGCCCTTGACCATCTCATAGAGGAAGGGACAGCACTTAACTTATGATGCTCCATTTGTTGAAAACCTGTCCCAGCCACTGTTGCTCATGCATTAAAGCTGTGAGAGTGCTTTATTGAGTTTTGTGCTACACTTGTATCTGAGGGGCAGAGCTCAGTCAGCCCCCTGAAAGGTGAGCTCCTTGTTGCTTGTTCCATACCTACCATGCAGTGCCAGCCATGGCCACGGCAACGGAGCTCTGCCTTCACTGCAGCCTGCAGCTCTTCAGCTTCCCAACCTGGTATTTGCTATAAAAGCTACATCCTTCTTTGGAAACTAAGCATATGAATCTCCTTATCCTCAGATGAAGATGACTGAATTTTGTAGAAGGGTGTTTCACAGTGGAATCCATTCTCAGTGTTTCTGTCACCACGTTCGACATGGGGCAAACTCATTATTACAGGTAATTTTATCTGAAGATAGAAGAATCTAACCCTAAGGAATGGGTCCATTTCTCCCCAAAGGACTGATTTTCTGAAGTCGGTGATTTGACTAGAGTTTGATCCAAGTAGAAGAGAACATTTCAAACACCCTGTGCCCTACACTGCATGTACAGATTAACTCAGCATGGACAGTGACAGTGCAGTGGAAACACCAGAAATGTTACCTGTGTCTTCACTCTGACTTCTTGACTCCTCTGTGGGATAAGTTTCCTGCTTGAATTAAGTGATGGTGAATGGCTTGTATGGGTCTAGGGTTTGTGAATTTAGGAGTTGCTGATAATAGGGTGGGAGTTCTTTGTGGTTTTGGTTTTTTGTTTTTTTTTAATATAGTGGCTGTTCCACATCCTTCATTTTACATGTAAACTCATTCTCCTAAGTCATATGAGCATCTTGATGGAAAGACTAAAGTTTGGACAATTTTATCTTAGCAGAGTTTGATCTCCAGTTTTTCCCTAATTAAGTACTTTAAAATTGGTTTTATAAAAAATTTAACTAATGATTACATGAAATATTAAACAACTTGTCTCAGATTGCCTTTTGTCTTGTGATTTTACCTAGCATTGAACCTCCCCTGTTTTGTGCTTACCTGGTCCCTCAAAGGGCAAGAGTTTGGAAGGAATTGGGTCCTTAGAACTCAGGGGGATCAGGTAGAGATCCTTGACATGTCTGTTGTTATTAGCTACAACACCAAAACGACCACGACTGCTAAAATAGGAGTAGAGAGAGATATAGGCAACTTCTTCTTCTTCTGTTGCAGGATGGAAACGAATCAAACACAATTCCTGGAATACAAAAGCAAAGTAGAAAAATTCAACCTGCAACATACCAGCACAAGAAATGGTAAAGGGCAAATTCCAGAGGTAAAATAAACTGCACATCTATCACTCCAACTATGCCTTCAGGACAACACTCTAGATTTAAGAGACTACTGCTGTTCAATTTGCAACATTAAAATAGAATTAGGTTTGTCATTTTCAGAAACACAAATTACTTGTGTATCTTACATCAAATTGAACAGCTTGAGGCTCAAATGAAAAAGAAATGAAAAATTCTTAGTTTCATGGTTTTCTCTATAATGTCTATCAGTTTTTCACCTCTGAAGTGCTTTTAATACTAAAATATATTAAATTATGAGTTCCTTTTCTTTTAATATTTGAATTTCAATCTTCAATATTTTGATTAGCAAATAGTTTGAGGATTTAACTACTGTGCAGGAAAGAGAGATCAAGGTTTACAGCTCAATAAACATGTTACTAAAATAAATAAAAAATTTCAAAGAAGTGGTTTAGGTAGTTTTCCATGTGTGATCTATGTCAGTATTTGCTGTTTAATACTCTGTATTATAAAAAGTTGTCATTTTACATTGCTGTCTATTTCTTCTGGGTTTTGCAAAGGATTTTAAGTGAATACCTTAGAAAGCGAAGATTTGAGTTTGCCAACATAATCCCAGACTGTCTTCGGTGAGATCCTCCCACCAATGTGAATTGTGTCAGGTAAATCCTAAACAAGAAGCATTACACGGTAGTGTGAGAAAAACCAAAAATTCAAACCAAAAAAGGCAGTGCATGTTGCCCCATCCCAGTAGCCCAGTGGATAGTTAAATTTTAGTATAATTTTGTGCATATGTTTTTAAATTCAGACAGGTTATTCCTAAATTTGGAGGTGTTTAATTATGGCATGTGACCCAAAGGCCCACAGGATACATGGAACAGATACACACACCAAACATGGAGAGCAGCAACACATCAAATAGTTCTGTATGCCCATTACTGGCATTTATAGGGAAACTGTAATATACATATCTATTGGCTTTTATAGGGAAGCTGTTATCTGAAATACAGCTTTTCTCCACATTTGCAGTGACCCCAAGTCATTTGAATTCTGATGAATTTCCTGTCACAAGGACAGTGAAACTCATTTCAGCAAAAGCAGTACTCAGAAGAACAAGCAACCTTATTAAGTCCTAAACCACACATTTGTGTTTGAAAATTCCTAAGTCACCTAAAATGCCCTTGAGAGAAAAAAAGAAGAAGAAAAACCTTTCTTTTGTCTCATTATTTGAATGTACACCCTCTCAGAACAGTATCATCCAACTGGTTTTACTTGAAAATTATTAACATGGATGATATTTTTCATAAACAGCTGAACAAAATTTTCTAACAGATCAATCAGTGATCCATCTAGTTTGAGAACAGAACAAGGCACACACTTTACAACACTGGCTCCTAGACAAGGAAGCTGATGTAAGCCATTATTCCATGGCAGATCCTAACATATGTATAAACATGTTGAAAGACAGAATTCCTCACAGATTTGTGAGGAATTTTTAAAAGGCTGAGTTTTTTTCCTTGAGCTACATTTCCTATTATTACAAAGATGTCCTTTACCACTGCTACAGTTCTCATGTAACTCTATAAACACACAGTGCCCCCAGCCTTTCCAGCAGCAGGAACTGCAGCACAGACCCATTCCAGACACACACACACCTCACTAAGATAATCAAAGCACCCGGAGACTGGATAGGCTTTAGTGACAAATTTGGCCACACTCTGCATGTTAATAAATCCTTTCCAAATGGTGTTGAGACGAGAGAGAAAGAGGGAAGTGTCGCTGTCCTGAGGTGAGCGAGGCTCTGAGGCACTGCAAAACAAATCCAAACAGAAAGGTTACAGAATGGCAGTGAGGATGGGCCCTTTGTTTTAAATTTTCTTCCCTTCTCCTATTGATCCGATACTTTCTTTTAAATAAGTAACAAATTTTTTACTAGATGCTTTGTTAATGTTTTCCATTAACTTGGTAATAGTTAAAATAGCAAGGAACAGCAGAAAATAAACTTGTAGCTGCAGGCAAGCAAAGAGGTGCCAAAAGGTATGACTTTTATAAAGCCAATTATAGACTTCTCACTAAGTAAACAATATCCTTCTGAAAGCGATTCTGAAGTAAAAGAACTTGCTATGAATAAAATTATTTTAACTGCAATTGCAAAAGGATATACTTTTTACTATTGTGTATACTCAGAATGTGAAAGAAATCCACTTCCTTTCAAGCTGACCAATTGGTTAATTTTAATTCGTATTTAGATGCAAGAGTATTTTAATACAGGATGAAAATCTGGAAATACCTCTAAGCAATCTCTCCCATGTACTGTCTTTCTAGATATTAATGTATATGCAGAATTCTAAGTCTGCATGACACCCTCAAGTTTTATTTCTCTGCTGGAACACAGTAGAATCTTTGTTGATATTCTGTGCATCTATTGATGCACACACTGATGCTTTGAAAACTTTACCAAGCTAGAGAAAGCAAATGAGGAGAGATGGCATTTTAAAAATGAAATCAGGCTCCCTGAACTTTAAACCTCAACAAGCCTTTTGTTTGAAGGAAAGAGAACAGGATATGGGACACGTGGGAATCTGCAGAGCCACGGGAGGGATGTGGCAGCTGCTGAGGATACGCACTTGATGTTGGGTGACTGATGAACCGCCAGGTATCTGGGATCTGGTGAGGAAGAGGGTTTGGTCAATATTGATTTGGGGACAGTCATAGCTGGTTTGGAAGTTTCTTGTTTGGTTTCTGCCGTGGAGACTTTGTCAGCTGTGGGCCCAGGACGCGGGGCCGGTGTCACGGTCGCGGAGGAGCCGCTCATGGCTGTCCTGGGGTCTCTGCCAGAAACCGTTACGGTTGTGACAACAGGGCCAGCACAGGAGGCAGCGAGAGCAGAGACCTCTTCAGGGACAGCAGAGTCTGTGCTGTTCTGGCTCTGGCTTGTAGGAGTAGAAGTCCCTTCTGTGGTTGGCTGGGAAACTGGTTCTGCTGCCGGTTCAACATCAATTTCCATTGCGTCGTCAGCGACGGGCTCCTTGTCAGGCTCTGCTGCCGGGGCTGCTGCAGGACTCTCATATTTGGCCTGCACTTCTGGCTTTGATTTCGACTCCACCTTCTTAGCAGAAGGCCCTGACTTCACTTTCTTCGCTGGTATCTCATCTTCTGATGCTGAAATCTGACCTATAGATTTATATCAAGAGCTTTTGATTAGTATTTAACAGCAGTTTGGAGAAACTATTTCAAACAAACAAACAAATAAACAACACGTAAGTAAAAGTTCTTTAACTGTGCCCAAGGTCAGCATTGTCAATAAATACCTGTACAGATTTTACAGTTCAGGTCAAAAAGATGGGCTCGATGCTGACTTGTTGTATCCTTCAACATGCTGCTAAAAACATCTAGAGAAGGAGGACTGTTCAAATTGGGTGCAGTTCGGGTTGACTCCTGCTGTTCCTAAAAGTGATTAAACACAAAAAATATTACAGCTGATCATTAACTTCAACAACAAAAAATACTTGGAAAACTGTTAATTCATTTTTTTAAAAGAATACATAAAAGTCCTTGCTTAAAGCATATAATGTTAGATGGAGTTATCACATGATATTGTGTCCAAATTTCAAGCCACAGTGCTTTTAAGCAGAGTTCATGTTCAGAAAGAAAAGATTTTTTTGTAAATTGACATCAAGGGCTGAAAAGTACACAGCATTTTTGAAGTGCCTGCATAATACACCTACCACTGGCTGTTGCAGTCCTTCACACTTGAGGAATGCTCACAGCACACCCAGTGGGCAAATGATATCCCCACAGTTCAGTGAAATAATCTGCCCAAATTTGAAGCCCTAATTGCCATTGCTCCCCCTCCACATCCTCATCTGAAGGAACAGCCCCAGTACTCACATCAGAGTCAGATACTGGTGGAGAATCCTCCATGTTGACAGCAGGCACGTGTTCCCGTTTCACAGCTGTTTTCTTGATTTCGTGAGATTTGCTTCTTGACTCCACCTAAAAGAAACAAAACAGTGTTGGTAAAAGCTCCATATATTAATTTTATTTTGTACTTTGCTATAATTCGGTATGTGGTAGGGAAGATGTGTATTGAAACTGAGTGTTATTAGTATTCTGTTAGGAAGAAAATGGTGCATTAACGTATAATGGGTGGTAAAGGCTGGCAAACTTGCTCTTAATTTGTTCTTAAGCACCTAGGGAAAAATATGTCACTTACTGCCTTAGCTGGTTTCTCTTTCCACACAGACAGTTCTTTAGATAAAAGTTCTTCTGGCTTCATTCTCACTAGTTTTGACAGGGAGATTTCCTCACGAAGGACACGATGGAAAAGTCCCTGAAAACAGAAGAGACTTTTGCCATGCGGAAGGGAACCTGCTCAGGTAACTGACAATACTCTGAGCAGGCAAAACCTGCTCCAGTTTCTTAATTCTCTGTTAAAAATATCACCTACTTATAAGCAAACTTGGAAAAGTGCAGCAACCAGAAATCAAGCATGAAATAAACCCCAAATATAATAAATACATCACATCAAACACTCAAACTGTATAAATACCAATCACCAACTAAAGCAGACTTTGAACTTCTACTTAAGATAAAAATATTAAAATGCTTAATGGCTTTCTAGTAACATTTTATCATTTAATTCATAAGTCTATGTTTTGAAACTCCTAATGCTGAGTCTGACATACCATTCAAGCCCAAAAGCACATTTCCATACAAGTTTACTGTTTAAGAAAATTCCAAACCTGGTTTTTGGGGTCCTTGAGATTGAACATGATGCTTCGGTATTTGCTCTTGTATCTGTTGTCTGTCACTTGGAACAAATTAAACATCTCCTTCTCAATGTTGAGTGCCACTTTCCCTACTTCACTCTCTGTCATGACCAGGTCATCGCTGTCATTGACTCTGTTGCAAACAAGAACAGGAATGTGTGGTTATGTCAGGGGTCAATGGTCAGGTACAGTCACAAAAAATAAATTTTTCAGAGCTGACCTCAGCTGCCTCCTCACCCAGAAAGGGCTCAAGACTCCTTTCCTCAAAGCCAAACTCTTATCTCAGGATCTGAACTCTGGCAAACTTTAATTACTGGTTTTGATGGCCATGGATGACACAGCTTTGGGAGACTCCTGCTTGTGACACTGCCATCTGGAGTTTCTCTGCCAGGAGTGACACAGGGAACTCAGGCACCTGAGTTTCAGTCCTTGATTCCCCACTGTGACCAGGATTGTCTTTTCAGATATTACCAGAGGGCAGTGCTCTATGGCAAGTCTTTACGGTTGTCATTCTCTTTAATAATTATTGTGTGAAAATCTGCATTTTTTGGTGGTTTTTTTCCTGTCCTAAGTGATAGCTGCCTGTTAACAAGAATTTCTTGTTGATTTTCATGTTGGGACAGGAGGGAATCTCTCCTTCAGTGACCTTTAACTATGGCATTTCTTGTACTATGTTCCCTACAACTCTACATCTCCAGACTTTAAAACTCAGAGCACCTACATTTTAAAAGCTTCACAGCATCCTAAACTGTGATTTAATCCTTCTACTGTAATTGTCTCAATATAAATGGAAGAGTGAGGTTTCTTTTTATAGAAGCTTTATCACATGCACATTTATCTTCTATCAAGAACTTTTATTTCAAATATAACCCTGAGATACTGATTGCACTTGTACTAATTTGTTGCATAAATTCAATCCCTCAAAATTCCTTATGAAGACAAACTAAACTCTCCATGCTACTTCTAGGTGTAGCTTCCTATATAAAGTGTTTTGAATTCCCACCTCTTCCATAAAATTTCTTTCAGGGATCGTCGAATATTCTGTCGAATCTGAGAGTTGGGCTGTGACTGGGCAGGACTGGCTGAGGCTTTTGCTTGACTACTTCCAGCTGCAGCTGACACGGAAGACAGTGAAGGCTTTTTGAGTCCCCCACTCAAACTGGAAGACGGAGATGCTTTCTTGGCAACTGATGAGCCATGAGAGAGAGGCGACTGTTTGGAAGGAACACTGCCTGATGAAGGCCAAGGTTTCTTGGGAATGACACCTTTGAAGCTTCCAGCAGGTTTAATTGGTGGTTTAGTTAGTGAGGTGTTGGAGTAGGATGGGGACTTCTTTGAAGGCAGATTTTTGGGGAGAGAAGAGGACTGTTTCTCCATGATAACTACCACAGCCTTCTTCGGCACCAGTGTGGACTCTGCTCGATCTTCGTTCCTTTTCTCTTCCCTCTGAGCTGTTAAAACAAAGAGGAAAATACAATATTAAAGGCTTAACTTTATAATTTCATATTCATGAAGACCTAATACCAATATATAAGGAAAAGTCAGTGAAATACCATCTCCAGTGAATAGCTACGAGGCAAACAGTTTAAGCTATGTATTCTCATTTGCCTTGTTAAAAGTAATTTTTTTAATAATGCCATAGTTGACCTGTTTGTTGAAAATGTTGTGCATAAGAAAAATGGGGGGTGGGGGGGGGGAAGGCACCACCTTAAAAGATTCCTGAGTGGGATTGCATGGTTAAGCTTCAAAATCAACCCAAATACTTATACATAAAAATGTAAACGCAATACAATCTACATGCTACATTTAAACAGAGAAAGTCTCACAGTACTTTACAGAATCAGTTAATTACAGAGGTTGACCTGAAACAAAGTCCATGAATTTGAAATTGTACTAATATTACCCTAAGCTGAATATTACTGAAGTTTAATAAAACTATTCAGCTCCTAGCTAGAGTCTAAATTTAAAGAATATTTAAACATTAACACTGCTGGCAGGCTGTAGCCATCGAATTCTCACCATTCTCAAACTATTCTATTCATAATATTCAGTTTTCCATTGAAAATTCTAATGTTACAATAACCGATAAACATTGTTTACAAGAAAATTTACTAAGTTTACTAAGTAAAAGCTCTTGTTTTCACACCTGTAAAAGATATACTTGCACAGGATTTTAAAAACAAATATGTTTTTAAATTGCATTTCATCTGTACCACGTTCTGGCACTGACAGGAACAATTCAACCCAGCAAAAAAAGCCAAACTCTAAAACACACACAACTCCCTCCAGCAGAACATCATTTACACGACATCAAAATTACAGTGGGTAAACATCAGCATATGGATCCTGAGAGCTCAAATGAGGATGGGTTCTGAGGGAAACTACCAAAAATCAACTCCTAAAATAGTTGTTTCAAACCTTGTTGGAGCTCTGTAGGTGCAATGTGCATGACACCTCCTGGGCAACATCCAGGAGGTTCCAGAAACTCTACCAAGGACCAGCTGGATCCTCTTCACCTCCCAGGTCTGCTCTGATGAGAGCAGAAATCACTGGAAAAGGTCTAAACTGTCCTGAGATGGACTTGATGGGGACCAAGCCCTCCTGGGGGTCCTGGTTCAAAACAGCCCACACATCAGCATAAATTCCCAATGTCATCAGCCCTCAAACTGCAGAGGATTTGGCATTCTTAAGGGACAAATTAACTACCTTATTTCTTGAAGAAATGGCCTTGCAAGTTTCTGCATGCCTAGTGGAGAGCAGCACTCCCCTGGACAGCAGCATGCACCTCCAGCAATGCCCCTCTCACCCCCTCCCTGTCACTGCCCTCGGTGCTGGCAGCTCCCACGGACACCAGTGGGAGATGAGCCAAAAACACCACAGGAACTGATCTTTTGTAAGGTGAGGTGCAAGGGTGTGTGCTCAACTTCTGCTGGAACACAAGAAGCCAGAAGATGCAGAGATACTGTATCTTTGTCGCCAGCTTTCTCCTGAAAGTGTTTTACAACTGAGGATTTTTTCTGAGCCAGATTTAACTACCTCAAGTGTAAAACAAAACCCACTGACAAAGTACAATAAATAACTTCATGGGCTGTGATGATTTTGCTATAAATGAAATGCAATTATTACCCTCACACTAGGCCCACAGTTTTCCCTAGACTGGCCTTGATTCCTGACTGTCTGAGACCCACAGTGTCTCTCTATGTCTCCCCCAACACTATTCCAGTTGTCAAGAGGACGCTGGCAATGCCAGGAGGGAGGAAGAGGATAAGGAACTATTGCTGATATGGCTGATTTGGTCAAGCAGGGTCCCCAGAACCTGAGAAGAAACCAGCCAACCTATTTTGAGGTCAGTCTGAAAAGACAGATGGCAAATACCCAAAATGTGTGCACTGTTAACACTGCAGGAATTACTCCCATTCTCTTTCTCCTGGTTTATTTATCTTCTGCACAGACATGTACCTTTCCAGGCAGGAAGGACAGCAGCACACTCTGTGACCTGCCACGGCAAGGCAGGACAGAACAGCCTGGCATGTAAAGTGATAGCAAAATTCTACTGTTTAGTTTTTTGTGGTTATAGCAGAAATATGACTGCAAATTTATTCTCAATCTCCTAACCACTATCTATTTAATTAGTTCAAAGTATTTAAAAACTACATTGATAGCACTAAAAATAGCAGAACCAAGATGTTTTGTGTCCATCAGATGCTGTGTATGTACAAAAACTATACCCACACCAAACACCTTTCTGTTACAAACAGCTATATCACAGTAAGAATAAGGACTTGTAAAATAAATTAACAAATAAATAAAAGCTACTAGTACAAAGCTAGATTGACATTTGTGGGGCTGTAGGTCACCAGTCTGTAAGGTCCAAGGACACAGAGGCATCCTTAAGTCTGCCAGCTGACACCATGACTATTCTTAAGGTGTGTGATTTTATGCTTCTTCAGCCAGTGGAAAACATGCAAAGAGCTCCCTAGTGTTGAGCATGCCTGACAGTTCAAGCTACAATGCTATTTTCACAACTTCAAGTGTCTCCTGAGCAAGACTTGTTGATCAGATATGGATGGCACAGATTCTTTATGTACTAACTCGGTCATAAGTGACTTTCAGCTCTCCAGAACTACCAAGGTCCTGTTCAAACTGACACTGTCCAATCAAGCATGTGCAGGTTTTGAAGAAGAATCCAGAATACTTAGATCCTCTGTACAAACAACCCGTGACACCTGCACGAGACTAATCTAAAAAACCCTCTTATCCTGTTTTGACAACGAGAAATCAAAATTTTTGTCCGATCAGGTTTTGGGTTTCAGTGTCAATGTGCTGCCCATAATTCAGCTGAAGCAGCTCACTGTGCATTACACAGGTTTTAGATCCAATGCCCAGGAGCCAGTGGAGGGTGGGGAAAGAGCAGAACTGGCTCTTGGGGTAGCAGCTCACTCTCCTACTGATCTATTCACATGAGCACACCTCAAAGCTGACAGCACCTTCTGACAGGCATGGGAACATGGTAGGTTTATGCTTGGAAGCACCAGAAGAAAAATGTGCTCTTTTCTGAGAGCAGTATGCCAGCACATACGGAGCTTTACTTCTGAACAGATGCCAGAGCTGCTCAGCAAATGGATGAGACAGATCATGGAGCAGGTATTCCCTCAGCCCATGATTTCCAAGTGCTTGGCCCTGCAGGCGATGGGCAGCATGAGGAGAAGGCAGAGCCAATGCTACTGCACACACTGGCCACTGTGTTTTATACCATGGGGGGTTTGGTCCTTTCCATCAGTAGCTCCAGTGCACCTATAATAAATGGATGAGAGCAGCACTGAACATCAGCTTATCCCACCTAAGAGATTAACATGAATTTTCACCACTGGTGGTTTAGAATAAGGCATTTGGTGGTTCTTCTATTCAACCCTTTAAACACCCAGGTGAACCTCCCTGGCTTGATGTCAGAAACACAATTTAAAATAACAGTAATTCCTAATTGCCCCATTTTATCCCGTGGGCCACTTAGGGCAGGAATAGGATCCTTACTGACTGGAGGGAGGTGTGGGCTAAAGAGATCGAGGTGCAGCTGCCGCTAATGAGCCAACACATTCCCAGGGTGAAACCCAATGAATCCTCTGGCAGAAACCCCTTCATTCCTCCCAGGCTTAACAAACAGCATTGCATGGTGTGCTCGCTACAGACAGAACTAGAATCTCTCCCATCAGGTGTGGACAGACATAGAACCCCTCCCCTGAGGAAATTCCCCCCGCAGTCACTCTTGCCATTACAACACAGCTGTGAACGAGGCTTCTGCACACAGAGCAGAACTGCCACAGCTTCTGCTGGGACAGGCGAGCCCGACAGTTCCAGGCACTTCTGAACCTCTCAACACGGTGTCCCAGCACTGCCAGGCCGTTGTGGAGGCCCAATTAAGAGGATTTCCACAGCGTAGGGCTGTTAACTTTGCATGAAGGACTTGCAGGCTGTACTTGTATCCAGTCCTTCACCAACACCCAGAGGCTGGGTTTTACACCACCAGCAGGTACATTATCCAAAATAAACTTTCTTTCTCTTCCAATCCTTAAAGAATATTTCTGTATAGCATTCGAGTCTATTCTGGTTCTTTCCCCTTTCCCTCTCCACCCAATCCTTCTTTGGAGTTATAGCTTTTGAAAGCCACTTCAAAAACTAATCCTAGTTTCTATAGGAGTTCTCATTAGTGATGAACTGTTTTGCTGAAACTATTAGCTACTTTTTTCAATTTTTAAATACTAGAATAAATGTGCTATTCCTTTTTTCTGTATAGTTTTAAAATTATTCAAATCACAGCTCTTCAAAAGAACTTTAATTTCTGGCTCTAGTTGATGTTAAAACTTTTAAATGCTGTGGAGATAAACCACAGGCTGCTACACCTGAAGAGCTCATTTCACAATGACTCCAGTAAAGCTGTTTGGTTTTTTTTTTGGTGGTTTTCTAAATTTAAAAAAGCATCACAGCTCCTCTTACAGGACATTAAAACACTTCTGAGCAATACATTTTGCTGCCATAGAGAGTACTGTAATTTTCTCTACAGAATTAAGATTTTGGCGCTGTCTCTGGTGTCGAATATCATCTTAATGTTTCCCCTGTGTTCCCTTCCATCCACATTAATCTACTTTCTTTCCCCAGGATGGAATTCCTGCAGGCAGTATGAGAGGAGCAGACGGCTGTCGTGTCCAACTTGCACAGAACTTTCTGCAGTGGGAGCAGGACGTCAGGAACCCAGCACTGAGGGGGCACTGCCCAGCAGAGGCAGCCCAAGCCTGTCTGGCTTTTACTGCTGCTTCTTTTCAGACTTCTCACTACAATAGTGTTTTAGGGGAAAAAACCAAAACTTCACAACTAACTTCAGTCTTATGCACAGTATATGAACTTCTGTGGCACCAACAGTAAGAAAGCTGGTAATTAACATTTTTCTTCAACAATA